TAGTATAATGCTGGTCCCTGGATATAGTAAATGGGTGGTCCCTGGATGATAGTATATTGCTGGTCCCTGGATATAGTATATGGGTGGGCCCTGGATAATAGTATATTGCTGGACCCTGGATATAGTATATGGGTAGTCCCTTGATATAGAATATTGTTGGTCCCTGGATATAGTATACAAGTGGTCCCTTGATATAGAATATTGCTGGTCCCTGGATATAGTATATGGTGGGCCCTGGATAATAGTATATTGCTGGTCCCTGGATGATAGTATATTGCTGGTCCCTGGATATAGTAAATGGGTGGTCCCTGGATAATAGTATATTGCTGGTCCCTGGATGATAGTATATTGCTGGTCCCTGGATATAGTATATGGCTGGTCCCTGGATGATAGTATATTGCTGGTCCCTGGATATAGTATATGGGTGGTCCCTGGATGATAGTATATTGCTGGTCCCTGGATATAGTATGTTGTGATTGTGCAAACACATACATGTTTACTATTATTATAATAACTATGATTTCAACTTTTAATTCGGAATTATTGTATTATTATGATTTGAGACCTGTTGAATCTATATCTATATAATTACATGTACCAAATAGTTACAAGGCAATAATTACTATTAAGTGGTACAATAAATTCTTCATGTATTACTGAGCAAAATATTTTCATCAAATAAAATGAGCATATAAAAAAAAAGCAGTAACCAAACTTGTTTTATGGCAATGACTTTAATGGTTTCCCTATAGCATTTAACCCTACTCTTTGCTATGGGTACCTGTTTTTTCTTCACATTTTCAAATTACCAGTCATGTGGTCAAATGACACAAACTTTCAAGAAACATGAACGTGTCATATGTACATGTCACCTTTGACATTAAATTAACATAAACGACACAATTTCAAAATATTGCCAATAGGAATTTTGAAAAACATGATGCTGTGATAGGCCTAATGTTACTATGGAAACCATATCTGATATATTCACTATATCAATATACAGCTACATACACATACTTGCAAATTAACTGTTGGTGAGATACGGATATCAAATGATGCAGTAAAATTCACAGGTACCACATTATGTGCAATACCACCCTGGAATAAAAAAATAAAAAATAATTTACTGTTTATTCTTTGTTCTAATGTTTGTAAGTGTATGTATACAAAATGTGTTGTTTTTTACTTGCCTCGACTTTGGTTAGATTTACTGTAGTGACATCTCCAATTTTAAGCTTTTGATTTGTCTCAAGTCTGAAAAGTAAGATGATATATACATATATGATTTATATTCAAATACTAATATTAATAGTGTTTAAGGTATGTGGAATATACATATTACCATAGTTACACTTCCACTCACACTTATTTAATAATAATATACACTTACTCTTTTTTCTGTTCTTCTCTGAATGAAAGAAAAGAGTTGATAACTTTTCGCTACAGGAAAAAAAAATAGCTAGAATGGTCATTCCAGGACTGGGAGCCATTTCTTTTTATTGGCAAAAAGATGAAGATGTCGTTTCGTAGATTAGCAGATAATTGCTATCTATTCGTATGTAAATTATTCAGGTGCCATTGCACCTGCTCCGATTGGTTAGTGGCTAAGTAGCCAGGTGTTCATGAGTATATAGTAAGAATAGTATTCTATTGTATTCAGTCTCGGTTGCAAACAACTCACAATGTATTTTTTTATTTTATTTTTATAAATGTATAGTATTCTTAATATGGACGACTCCCGACATCCACCCCTAGGTACATCTGACATTGCGTCGGGTACAGGTTTCCGTATGTTTTCTCCCTTGACGGGTTTTTATATCTGTTTTTTCCTGGGCGGTCGATGTATTCGCGATGGGGCTTTGGCATCAATTTCGTGTATATTTACATATGTAAGGGGGGATAAATAAACGTTATAATAAACGCGTGTGGCTCCTGGGTGCTGCAACCACCGCATACCGCATTTCATGCTTGTTGTGTAATTTGTATGAATAATTGAAGTTAAGTATAGATAAAGTGTTAATTTCAATTAACTAAAAATGACTATTTCAATTGCTTTTATAGTCAGATTCAAACCTTTTGAGATTTTACTCTCTATTCTGAATTGATTGCCTTCGTATGCAGGTGCTTTGGTTGACCTCTCAGATTTGTTGATTTTCCTAACAATAATTTAGTTTATTAATTATTGGTAATTTCGAACGTCTTTTTTGAAAACCACCAACCCAGTCGTTCTTATATGTATATAATTATGTAAGTCACTGTCAGATTGATTTGATTCCTTCTATCAGATTATTTAGTTTTGATAACTGAAATTTCCTTATTCTAGTAAATACAGGTATCCCTGTTATGTTAAAAATTGATAGTCTGATTAATTTGATATTTCTTTCTCATTATGCATCTGAAACAGTGGAGCTATATCAGCTGACAGGCTGCTTGTTGTTGACGCTGGATTATTCTATTAGTCTCTCAATTATGACTATACTACAAATTCATTCGAAAAATAATTGACCTGGTTACATGACTAGTGATTTACATATCTTATGCATTTAGCAATACATCATGTCCATAACAATTCAATTTGTGATTAGATAAAAAAAATATATTTATGACAGCTATCTTGCTTTTTTTCTGTATTACTCTATCTAATGCATGAATACATCAGGGACTGTTATAGATATTTATTTGTATAAAGTAGAAACTCACCAGTTTTTCAGCAGCTGTATTTTCAATGAATCTGGATCCATGTCCAGGATCACCTGAGCATATCACATTCAATTCTATATAAAGAGTAAATAGTATAGTATGCACAGTGGTGCTCTTGTAAAATATCTGAATATAATTCACATTATTTTAACTCATACTAAATTATTAAATTGGATGTGTCTCTTTAAGTCATTAAAACTAAATACTGACCTTCACTTTGATACCTCAATAGTGTAATAAATGCACATTCTAGTATATATTTTTCAATCATTTTTCTGTGCAAAACAAATAATTTGAGGAGTCATTACTCACGCCAAATGGTTCTCTCTCCATAAAACACGGTAAAAACATCATCTGGATTTGCAAGACCTACAGATGAAAAATGTGATTTATATAGTTATAATTGTTGGAAGATTCAGCAGACCCCTTGTGGAAAGAAATACTTATTTATGTGTAATCTTGAAAACATTGACATCTAATCTATTTCTCACCTTCATCTAAGACATATCCCACATTCATCTCTTCAAACTCAGGTCTCTTTATAAACAGACTCATTCCAATGCTATCAGTTTCTTCATCTAGAATGAATGCAAGCTTAGACATTGGTTTTTAAGGCAAACATGATTGAATCTATGGCAAGTTGGCAAAACAACATCAAATTTATGTGGCATTTTCAGATTGTGTAGTAATATGTTGAAAACAATTGACTGTATAAGTAATTATCAAAATTGCATGACCTTTTAATGATAATTGGTTTTGTCTATTTGAATCATATCACACACAAAGTGTGTGCATCTGTAACCCATCATGCGTCAAGCGTCATGTCTATACAATGTTTTATTAAAATTAACCAAGACATGCCAAGAAACTGATGACGATATATTCATATGTACTACTAGATTATCAAGAACTACGGGATGTAAGTTTTCAACTGAAGTTCACAATACAAAAATGTAGTTTTACTGAAATAGGCTGAAAACTTTCCCGAGATAATATTATCATTAAATAGCTTCCCAATGCATCTGTGTATCATGTTTCATTGAAATATGTTTTGACATATTACTACAAATTGTCTAATTATTATGCAAATTAGTTAATTAATAAGCATACATTTATAATAACCTAACCATGTCTGTATACTATCCCAATGCATCTGTGCACCAAGTTTCATTGAAATATGTTAAATGGATATAGAGAAATTGGTGGAAAAGCTGAAATATAAGTTTTATTGAAATTTGAAAACATACCATTACACATATACCATATATGCTTTGCAATTGAATTGCAAACAAACGAAAAACAAATTGATATGCATTTGTGCCAAGAAAATAAACCCACAATGTCTGAAAAAGGAAGCAGGACAGACTGACGAACAGAACCCAAAACATTTCTGGCTGTGATTAATAAGATAATAACAAAGATAATAGATCACCAGCATGCAATGAGGAATCTACTTCACAAAGTATTCTTCCAATACTTACTGGGCATGAATGTAATATATATATTTCTCAGTAGTTTTTCTTCTTTACTTTTCAATCTTCGTACTGCTTCGATATACCTACAATATGCAAATGATATGTTTATTGTTTGTTGCATGCATGTCAAGAGTTATCACATCACAAGGATGATACTCCTCTCTAGTACTCAGATCTATGGCTTATTGATTGCAATAAAATCTAATTTAACAGTGATCTAAATATTCATTAAATATATACCAGTAAATACGAGTGAAGAACGGAATCTGGAGACTGGTGTAGCAGCATTTAACATCTTTTGATTTCTTGTTTAATGCATGGTTTGTTCTTAAAACACTGGAAAAGCTATCGGTATTGTGAAAAGCATGTAACCTGTCTAACCTAGGCGGTATACAAAACAATGTAGCCGTGTAGACTGAGAACTGAATATAAATACTTACTGTATTGTCACACTTTTCATATCCTGTGAAGAGAAACAGTTGTATCAAAACATGTATGTAAGATATTGGAATTGTGAGTTTAGTTTAAATAAACATTCTATTTTTAACCAAATGTACATATTTTATGTGAGACTTAAGAATAGTAACAATAAGAATTTGAAAATTCTATTCTATTCGTTTCAGATGTACCGGGCCGGTACATCTGTTTCAAAGTTTCAGACTGTATGGAAGTGATATGTACATTTTAAGTTCTATTAATTCCTGTTATTTCATTTGATATGGGATTTTTAATTTAAAGTATACTGAAAAAATAAATAATAATAATTCAAATTACACTCTTGACCAATCAGAATGACATATCTGGGCCAATGAAATGCTGGTGTAATATATTGATTGTTATATACATGTATTTTTAGAAAGTCATGTCTTAATTCCTGTCTATTACAGCTATATTAGTTGATCCAAGACACTATTGTACAAAGAATATGAATAACCAGTTTCATATACTGTACCTGTGTTCCTCTGCCATAAATGTCACCATTGTCCATTTTCTTGGCTTCAAACGCGTCACATTTCCAGTGCTCCTGTAAAATGTCAATGCAAATAATGTATCCATTGCCACAAGTGTGGTAAAGTCTGATAAGTGTCAATATTAATTAAACATTGGTTTAAAAAAAACAACTGTTACAATAAATTAATTTGCATGATAACATTTTAATGTAATAATTGATGTTTTAATACAACTAATCTAAAATCATTGGTGAATGTAGAAAGTGATTACAAGACCAGTAGTTAATTAGTGAAAGTTGCTCGGACCAATACACTATATATAAAGTGGTAGTAGATAATTAAATCATTGGTAATTAAACAATACAACCAGATGTTATATCCAGATATTGAATAATAACCAATTAATTAAGACCAATTAATAGTCGTTTATTTTGCGGCCATGCTGGTCACCTGCATGGAGGTTTTATTATTGTTTGAAAGCTATTGTCAAATGATATGTATATAAGAACGAGTAGAATAGTGGCCATCAATCTATTGACATTTAAATCAATGTCCAAATCAGAACATGATTACAATAAAAAATACTACTATTACTACCTGGAATACGGGCACCACATCCATATGAGAATTTAACATCAAAGAAGGAAGAGATGGATTCTTTCCTTTCCATGTTATTATACCAACTGGTTTTCCAGGATGAACTTCAATGCACTTAAACGGTAGCTCCAGTTCTTTTGCCATACGTTCAAGAAATTTTATGGCTCCATCTGTATTTAAAAAAAAAAACTAAGATAAAGAGCTTTGTTCTGTAACTGCAGCCACTTAAATTGGTGTGCCACTGGCATCAACAGCCATGTATAATTTTATAGACACTTGACAAATTGAGACAATCTTGAATCATGTTTTAATAGAAGTTTGGAAATATTATACTAAATATTTAAAGTTTTTACTTAATGTGTGTTAATTGTGGGAAATATGTAGTACATGTAAATTTCTAATTATCAGTTATTTTCAGCGTGTCCAAACATTGGCGATTAACAAATCTATCAGTCGACTATTTTCAACCTGATCTAGGGGGAAAAGATGTGTATCAAGGTCTTATTGATCTGTTCAATGTACGTACAAAATTTTAATCAAATATGTCCATGCACGATCAAGATCCAGTCCAGAAACACTTGATTAATGCCTATAATGGTCACCATTTGCCATTTTGAATTGGTTCATCAAACCATTAAATTTGTATACCTATGACATGATGTATAATGAATATATAAAATTTGAACATGGCTAATATTCGGCTATCTTGAATCGGATCGTTAAATAAATTGATGTGTATATGTATAATAGTATGTACGAGTCTCAGCACATGCCGAAAGTCGTGTTTGAAGCAAGTCGTGCAGAGATTTCCTGCCTGAACTCTTAGCACAAACCGAAATCGCACTCGGTGGTGAATTTAAGAGAACAGCTTGGTAACTAATATTTGTCTGCTATTTGAGATGTACAATGTGAAAACAATGTGATCCACATTATTGAAGTTTATAATACTTACAGAAAATATATTTGATCTTATATCTGTGGTTTTCAGTCTCACTTATTCGAGAGCACTTCTACCACTAGTTCAATTTAAATCTGAGTATCTATGAACCAAATTTCAATGATAATTATGCACATTGTGCAAATTCAGCAATTAGTAATCTTGAATTCCAATTAAAAACTACAGTAATGCGTTTAGTCAGTCGAACAAAGTTACCTATAATCAAACACTTATACAAAAAGTCTTATTGAAATGCAATAACTATTTTTTTTTAAAAAGATTGGGTAATCATTATGCAAATTAAGCAATTATTAAGCATATATTTGAATTCCAAACTAATCAGGTCTGTGTATTGTTCCAGAGCATACATGTATCAAATTTCATTATAATGTGATGATCAATTCTTAAAAAATGATTAAGCCAAAAAGTAAATTATTAACCCAAAACTAATTAGAACATTGACTGTCTTTTAGAGTATTTATGTACCAAGATTCATTGAAATAATAAATACTTGAGATATTAATGGAAAAGTTGAAATAGATTTAAGCCAAATTAAACGCATTGTCCTAAAGCATCTATGTACCAAGTTTCATTCAAATGTGATTTTTAGTACTTTAGATATCAGTGAAACAGTAATGGAACTGTTACAGCTTTGCACACAGAAGTAAAAAATACCAATAATTTGAATCCTTCTACGTCGTTCATGTGCATGTCTCATATTAAATACCATAACAGCAAATTATGATTTGAATAAAGTAAGTATTATTATCAATGTATGCATATCATCTGCCATGTTTGGGTCAAATATTGAGGGCATGATTCCCAGATTATTTTTGAGAAAATGATGATTGTATTTTAGTGGATAGTGGCCATTTTGGCAGTATTATAGTGATTTTACCATAGGTTCCTATGGCGGAGATACCGGCATTATATTTTATATCTAAAATGTAGGCAGGTGACATAGGCAGAAAAAATTATATGTTGTGAATGATGGGGTAAAAAATGCAATTTTTCTCTAACATTGTGTTCTATGGATCTATTCTAAAAATAGTGACTATACCAGTTTCTCAAAATCTGTCACTGTAAACACACAAAATAATGCCATATGGGACATTGGCTTCATGACTTTACAGCACATTACGCACAATGTCATGCGATTTATTATCAATTTTTTCAAAAATTATTAAAGTTGTTAAAAGTAAATTAATAAATGTCTTGACAAATAATAGCCATTGTACTGTACATACCTGTAGTTTAAATAATTTCCACCATGGCAAGTTATTAAATTAATGAAACAAATATACCAATATCTTTAGATCATCATATGATTGAACACAGTCCCTCTATATGATAGAGGGACTGTGGATTGAATTTAATCGCCCCTCGAAAAAATGTTACCCCCCTAAAATCAAGCAGAAACCTTTTGTGTCAGAAAAAAATTGCCCCTCATGCAGGAAATAGCGTTTCAGAGGGTCTAGATTTCAAAATATTTAAGGGGCAGCATGCCCTCAACCCCTCCCCCTCCCCCTACCCCCAGGAAGAGGAATGGTGAGAGAATCTGGCCCCTCCATGCAAAATTTCGTGAAGCCCTCAGAATCGGGGTACGTCTATCGGGACATGTACGGAGTCTGCTTCAAAGCAATATGCGTGAATAAAAAAAAAAATATCTTGTTTCATACCGTAATCGGGGTCGGGATGCACTGTCTTTATCTTAACATATTCCCTAAAATTGGTAACAGCCGGGTCTTCTTTCTTCTTCGAGTTCGTTACATTTCCTGGTTGCATTGTAAACTGCAGCCCGGCTCACAGCTGTAATTGTGATAATCAAATGAGAATATGCAAGGCGTACATCACATGATAGGGTTCCGAGAATTACGTGTTCTCTAGTTAAATACAACGTCTATTGTTACATCACTCACTTTACAGTGTATTCCAGTTTTGCTATACAGATTGTTTTGTCTTCGTTACTGGACGTCAAATGACACACTGGTTTCGCTAGTCAGTAATCGTTGGTGGCCTTTGACCTTTCATCTGTGTTCACCAGCTATGTGCTTTTCTATATTCGGGTTTGACCAGTGTGCATATATCAGGTGATTAAAAGTAGAATAGTAATAGACCATAAAATGTATTCTAATCCATCTTAATTCTGCCCTGGGAATGTTGTATGGCAGATCAGTTTTTTTTTTTTTTTGTTTCTTTTATTTATTAACACACAACATAAAATGGTTACAAATCAGATATTAGTAAAAGAAAAATAACTACATAAAAAGAAAAAAGAAAAAAAAGCATAAAGAAAAAAAAATGACAAAAATTTGTATACAAGGAATGTGTTACTGGCTTAGTTTATGTAGGTGCTGCTGTCTTATATTAAAACAGTTTTTTAAATATTGTGCTAAAGGAATTGACTTTTTCTCGTCACTTAGGAATAATACGTGATTCCAGACCAGCGACGAGTAACAAGACATTACGGTTATATTGATGAATATATTTGTTAAGATTGCGTAGAGCGGCCTTTGAATATTGATAGTTGCCATTGTGAAACCATTGGAATATATTACAGTCGTGACCACCATTGCGGACGTTTCATACCCTGTCATTATTTCTATTAGTATATAACCCTACCCAACCCTACCCTTAACCATAAATCCTGTTGCAAGCGCCCGTGGTCGTGACTATACAACTGCGGTAGTTCTTGGAATATTGCATTCTCCATCTATATTTACTTTTTTTATACATTAAAGTGTGGCACTGAGATTTCCGTATGTTATTGTACTGTTTCAATATATCGTTATCGAACTACCCGCGACATAGACGAAATTGTAAAATTCCCGATTTCCCATTGCTACCCGACTGAAACAAAATTAACTAATGAACCTTATTTTTAAAATTAGATTGGACCTAAAAAGCTGAAACGTCAAAGTTTGATATTGAAGTGCATGAACAAATTATTAGTATTCAATTTAAAAATTCTGGTTTTCATTTAATAATTGTACAGCCAAATCAGTGATACTTGTATCATTATAAAATTCACAGTAATCATGAAAAAAAAAAAAAAAATTCAAATATGGGAGGAAATCTGCCCTTTGACTTAAACATTTAATTTTAAATTTAAGGGAGTTTCAACGGAAGTTTCAATCATAACATCTTGACACAGTCCCTCTAGGGACTGTGATCTTGATGACAATTAAATGTTAAGGTGCACAAAATTAGCTTTATGTGGTCCAATCCAGCAACTGTACATTTTGTGATTTAAAGGAGAGAATCTTTTTGCTCATGATCAGTATACTGTTGTTAAAATGTTTTGGAATATACAATTCTCTGAGCAGTGAATTATTGTATTTATAGAATCGCACACAATGCCTTTTTTTCATTTTGGTACCCTCACAACTTGCCTTTGTGGCACACACCCACTTGGAAATCACATTGCCACCATTAGGTTGAATCATCTTCCAATCACACGATAAACTAAACACAGAAAAATGAGTAGAAAATTATAGGTACACGTATATAACACGGTATTTACTGTCCTTAATATGTACTTCCACGGTGTTACAAACGCTTAATTCATCAGTATCATCATTGAGACATTTCAAGATACAATGTTCCGGCAAATTGCCTCCACATACAAAGAGCGGGATTTCTGAACGACAATCGTAACCGTAACCAGGCGAATTTAGTGTAGCAAATATGTAACGCCCATTGAGTGACTTTCGGTAAGTCCCAATGTTAACGATAATAATGAGTTTCAGCGATACTGTTTTGTTTTGATTTTCATTTTGAGTTGTTTTAATGTCTACATTATTTCTGCAATTGTCAATGTTATCATTTGTGTATGGGCTATCCCACATTCCAGAAGGAGCAGTACTACATAACTAGAAACTCTTTCTGTAATGCTCAAAAAGACATTCTGACTTCACAATGACTTATCACAAATTTAAAATTATATATATCAGTGTGCATTCACTCATAGACAAGGTATCTGATTCACTGTACGTTTAGTTCTTTTTTTAGCAAAGTCCGGGAGGGGGCTTGTTCGTCAGTCCGTTCGGAGTGATTTCTCGGAGCTGGCTGGACCGATTTTTTAGAAACTTAGTACAAAGACATAGTGGTCAACCATACATGTGCACGTCAATTTATTTTCCGATTTGATCAAAAATGGCCGACTGGCAGCCATTTTTAATGCCAAAATTCAATCAAATTCAGTCCTTGTGTGTCTATCGTCATTTCTCGGAGACGGCTTGACCGATTTTGTTGAGACTTGTTACAAAAACAAAGGGACCACCCATACAGATGCACATTGTTTTACTTTTATGAAATGATAAAATATGGCCGACTGGCAGCCATGTTAATCATGGCTTTTGTCTGTACATAGATATTTCTCAGAGATGCCTCACTGATTTTAATGATACTAGGTACAAAGACACTGTGAGGAGGTATACATATTCACATGGATTTATTTTCTGGTTTGATAAATATGGCTGCCTGGCGGCCATTTTGAATGTCAAACTCCTGTAAAATCCATTTTTTTGGGTGTGTTCATCATCATTTCTGGGAGATGCCTGGCCCGATTTTGCTGAGACTTGGTACAAAGACAGAGTGACCACTGGTACAGATGCACGTTGATTTATTTATTCTTTTTTTTCCTCCATGATTCAAGAAATCAATTAATGAGCTCATTTGCATATTTCATTATTAATTTGAATTCTTGTTAATATCTTTTGAACTAATAGTCCAAATTAGACCAAAGTTTGTATAGACTTACTTGATCTGTCAATATATGATATGTGCTATGCAATATTGACTAACAAGCTCAATTGCATATTTAATTTTTTATTTTTTTTAATATCTTGTGAATTATTAGTCCAAATAAGACCATACTTCGTATATTTAGACTGACTTGTATTTCATCATTGTTTCAAATTTGCTGTTAGACTCAATCAAATCAATTTAGTGTGTGTTAGTAATACAGCTTTAAAATTTGATGAAAAAATTTCCAAGTTACTACCGTAGTAGCAATAAAACTATGATCTGTGTTTGTTTTCCATGTACGTAAATATAAACAAATTCAAAGTACTCCATATATAAAATGTGGCACAACATTTATTCAATTACACAAATATATCTTTTGAAGATGTATTTGGAATGTAATTACTGTAGTCTTTCACAAATAATTAAGAGTTTTCATATTACTGCAATGGAAGCTCTATATTAGAAATGATTATATTTGTATAATGTAATGTACATTGCTTTTCATTGTCATTATCAGTTTGAAGGTACACTGTAACCTCAGTATAATGAACACCGTTATAATGAACTTCCTGATATAATGAACACATAGCGTGTCTCCCTCTCACAACAAACCCAATGTATTATGTGCTTCATTATAGTGAACATTTCACTATAACAAACTAATTGTATGTCTCCCAAAGAGTTCGTTATAGTGAGGCTACAGTGTAATTTAAATGTGTATTTTATTCTTCAGTTGAACATGTCATTGATTTAGCCAATAATCATGCTAGTACATCATCACATGATTTTCATATAGCTGGGACATTGGCCAATCAGCACACTAGTACATCATCACATTATTTTCATATAGCTGGAACATTGGCCAATCAGCACACTAGTACATCATCACATGATTTTCATATAGCTGGGACATTGGCCAATGCCGGTATGATCTTCTCATATATGGTGATGCCTTTGAGAAAGATTTCTTCATTCAGGAATTCATTGTGATCATGCAGTAAAATTGGTGTCTTGTTCATTGGTGAAAAACCAATAGCAGAGTAACCAACCTGGAAACAAATATAAAGTATATACCAATCTCAATATAGTATGTTCCATTCTTTGTACATTGATTATATTTGTGAGGTTGGTTGTGGAGTCTTTGAACAGAAAGTAAGCTTGATTTTTTTAGTCTTGACATTCAGAACATATCACTGGTCATATTTGATGTAGTGCTAATTTTGAATCAGTGTGTTTAACTAAATATGACTTATTTCTCTTACTGCTCGTAAAAAACGGCTGTCAGTGGCTGCTGGGAACACCTCCGTTTCAATCTTCATGTTCCTATAAATAACAACAGTGACATCAGACAAAGTACTGCAATGTTTATTGCTGAATTGGTCATGTTCAAACAAGCATTATTAGCTGTCATGCATGTCATCCTACAGTGT